GTAGACTCAATCTTGGATTGGGATGATGATATCTCCCTCCTGACCTGAGGTCCTGGCACCCCTTGCTGTAGCATTTGTGTTGTTCCTCATCAAAACATCTAGCAGAACCAGGTCTCAGGGAGGGGCAGTCATCTGGTGCAAAACATGCAAAAGCCACGTAGAAAGCCCCCAGCTGGTCAGTGGATTTAAACCCAGGCCCTTTTTTCTATGGGGTGCTTTGCCTTTGTCTTTTTTATTTTGCTAACATAATGCTTTATACAAAAAAAAGTTAATCAAACAACATGAAACAAACAGAGGCACAAAACAAAGAAAGCCAGTAGTATTGTTTGTTTGAATGGTTTTATGGGTGAAAAACAAAATGACTGCAATCTAAAATGTGGTGTCTGTACTCTCACAGCTTTGAGGCACAAATCTCTGCCCCTGGGATCTCAGGTGAACCAGGCAATGAGTCCATAAAGTGCAGTTAAAGCACGCTAAAATCATTTCTTTTTATGAAAATTGCCTCAAACTCAAATCTGCTCTTACAAGGACAGCCACAGCATTACACTCACAAATGGATATATATATACAGCTCTGAGTCACAGTCAGTCCACTTTGGAACCTCAAGTGGACTACCAAGGAGACTGGGTCATGTGTAGGGTGATAAATCTCTGGGATGACACCTCTCTTTGGCAATGAGCTGTGCAATCACAGGCATTTAGTTAGGATGGTGACACTGACAGAAGACAAAACTGTGGGTTTATAGAGAGCTGTCAGGGGTATCAAGAGTGACATGTGGGTTATCGCTGTAATGCCCACACTACATCCTAAGTATGTATTTCCCATGAACCTCAAAGGTGGACTGCACAGTCACCAAATGATAGCAAGACAGTAGAGAGGAAAGGTGAGAAATGTATCTGTGCATGGGGCCAGCTGTGGAAAAAGTCTGTGACAAAAGGTGCATGGGTGATCATAGCAAAAACCAATGCAATGCTTTATTACCTACTTAACCTTACTGCCATGCATTCTTCTATTCTGCTTTACTGTGTCTGAATTAATTTGCTTTGAATATTTCTGACTGTCCCCATGTCTTCACCTGGCTGCCAGCCAGAACAGAGAAGAGCCAACAAAAACAAAAATGGGCAGAGGTAAATCACAAGAGAATAGGAAGAGATAGGGTCATTCTTGGATGTCGGCAGTCATTTGCCCTGGAGTGATCTGTGGATTAGGGGCCAAGGCCTAGCTGCCCGATCTAAATTGCTCCACATACTGAAAAGAGTAAGCCACAAATGAATGGGGCAACTGAGCTGATAGTCAGGCCTAAGCTCCAGTGGCGGCAGTAGGAGGCTATATTTTGATGCAAGTTTTGATGGGAGATTAACACAAAGAAGAAAGTTTTTTCTCACAGAAGAAAACACAAATAGGACTGTCCCAATTATATCCTCATCAGTGGCATTGATTTAACATTAATAATATCATCTATTATCAAAATAGGTCTTTGTTTAGCTTGACAACAACATTTTTTAACTTGGAAATTTCAAATTGTGTCCATTTTTTAAATTATTGTAGTTTAGTCACAATGCAGATAGATAAATACTCATACACTCTTTCTTTGTGCATCCAAGATGTCTCTTTGGCCAGCTTTCCCTGTGCTGCATCGTTTGTCCAGTGTCCTGACAACTGCTGGATTACATCTGGTTCAGTCATTCGTGCGCTTCCAAACATTTAGGAGGTTCCCCAAACTTCTTTTCCAATGTTTACATCTAATTTTAGCATTTATCTCAAAAACATAAGTGTGCACAGGCCACCTTAGCGTTTAAAAGGTTTTATTATTCAATTGCATTCACTATATCTATTTCTTCTTTAATATAATTAACTTAGGGCAACAATGCAATCAAATAAAGGCAACAATTTTTCTGTAATCTTTTCTAGAACAACTATTATAAAACATGAGCAGATATTATTTTGATACTTTTTATTTAGAAACATTTTTATACAACAAAAAGAAAAAAAAGGGAAACAAAAAAACCCCAGACAAATAAATGCACGTATATACATCTGCACATACATACATAAATACTATAGTATTGCAAGTTCTGTGCATTAAAGAATGCTGCCAAAGCCCAGCCATTTTCTCTAATGTCTCCTTCCCAAGTCCCCCTAACATCAGATTGATGTTTCAAAAAACCCATAGCAGATATTCTTGTTAACACATGTGCATCTCATTTTTTAAATTTCCGAACAGCTTATTTTCTTTTTCTTGTTAGGGGAGGAATAGTGGATATAGTGTGCAAAGGATGCTGACTGTGGAGCTGCCAGGTTAGAGTAGTAGTGAAGAAGGACATGCAAAGGGTTGGGGTGACAGAATAGGTTGCAAGAAATAGGGTGGAGATGGAGGAAGATCCACTGTGGGAACCCTCTTAAAGGGGGCTGCTGAAAGAAGAAGAGGAAGAAGAATGTAATGTAATAAAGAACGTGTAGAACCCAAAACGTGTTGCTTCTTCTTGTTGTGTAATAATATCCAATGGAAGGATCGAGACAAAGTAGAGTGGCATTCTTTACAAATAAATGTTCATACACTGAGTGGATTAGGATGCTCTGGGTTAATTTAATAACTGCTGAACCAGCTACAGCAGCTAGAGCTTATGGGATGAGGTTTAAAAAACCCATCTCATAGTAATAGAGATCCTTTACTACCATCAGGGGAAATTACTGCCAATTTCTTGGTGGTCCATGTAATTAACCCATGTCAGCTTTCTTAGACTCACAAAAGATGGAAAATAAACTCCGTGTAGACCCTAACCTTTCAATCTGGTGTCACATAAAGTGAAAGGGGGCTATTTAAAGGTGGACAGCATCCCTAATTTTTCCATGACAAAGCTGCTTTAAAATAATTTACTTCTAACAGTGAAGGGGAAAATGATGTGATTTTTCTATTAATGAAAAAGTTTGTCTATAGATGAGAATTCATTATCTTCTCATGCTCTGGGAGGCTCAAGAGGGTGGATGTTTGTTGTTAATGGAGTCAAGCCTAAGTTAAAGTCTCCCCACTCACATCTTTTTGTGTATGAGTAGAGCATTGTCTTACTCCTTGTTCGAGCTCCTCACTACAGGAAAGAGTACCGGTCATACTCAAACTCATTGAATGAAATGCCAATTGAAATTCTCGGGTCTCAATTGTCTGTGGGGAGGCATTTAATATGCTTTCTAACAGTTACCGTATCATTATCAGTGAAAAGATTAACATAGCAATAAAATTTATAAATAAATTGACTTTTCTGACATATAATAACCATCATCAATATGATCATATTGATGATGGTGAACTGATCATATGATCATCATCTGATCACCTGATCACTGAAAATGCCAGGGCATTCAGTCCAACAAAGAGTTCTGGTGGTTTCAAATTCCCAGAGATATATGACTCCTACTCTACTATTAAGGGGACATACATGGCCTTCTATTGATTTGACATTTGTGTGTGCTGGGAAAGCACAGCACATTGACAGATTCCATATTTATAGCCAAAATGGAGGTCTAGTGATACTTTTTTGCAGACATGATTCTATTGCTTGAGCTCTAATTGTTTCTTACTTAAACTTAAAACTGATGTATTAGGATTTCAGAAATGTACAGGAATTTTACTCCTTGTAAAAAAAACAAAAAAAACAAAAAGACTTTTGTAGTCATGAGCGGGACTTACAACCTTGCATTTTCAACCAATGTCCATACTTCAGGAATTAGGGACCAGAATGTGGCAGATTTTATGATTTTACTGATTTTACTCAG